TTGAGCGGCGAGACATTTTTGGCTTGAAGGTCAGGGCTTGATTTGGAGGCAGAGGAGGAGGGCTGAGGACTCTCTTCTTCTTCGTCTTCCTCATCAAGCACAATGATTTTATCTGCCATCGAGGCAGGAGCCACCGCCATTCAAAACGCCGGCTTTCTAAAATACAAACAGGCAGAATGAGACCAGAACAGGATGACACACGAGCATCAGAACTTCAGTGTTTTCAAGATCTGTACGATATTTACATTGGCACAAAAAAAAGTGACAAATTCTGGCCATGTGGGCACTTCTGATTATTTAAATACCAAAGCAGGGACCTGCTCTGTGAACAGACTTCAACAAACCCAGGATATTTTTATCTGGTTTCCAAGAGAACAAGGTTCAGGTCATATTCACATGAAAGATCTGAAACATAGACAAGTCTAATGACTGCAGAGTGACTACCTTTACAAACTATGATGTCAGAACACAAAATGAAGAGTAACACACAGCAAGGCTGAAAGCACCACAGCTGCCACAGATGAAATTACTGTGTGTCTGTACGAGGAAATGTTTCAAAAGTGCTACATTAATGTGTGGAAAAGCCCTCCAATATCAAAAAAGTCCATTTAAAGTCAGGAATGAAAGCTGAACACGTGCATTTGTGCGCATTGACAAAGCTGTCACTTTCACAGCTCCACCATAAAGACACAGGAGGATCTGAAGTATAATTACAATTTTTTAGTTTGTAAAATAAACACTATAGTGTGCAGATGTGTGTGAGACAGTTTCAGCTGCACCCACGTATAAAGGAATGAAATAATTTAAACATTGCTTGCAGTGAAAAGGGAAAAAGCAGGAATAAAGGTGAGTATAAAAATCCATATTTTTTACTGATGCTTACCAGAGCATCAGCATGATGGTCGGTTTGATTGGTCAGTAGGTACTGGTTTTATACATGTATGCTTCTCTTCTTTAACACAACCTACTGTGGATCAGCATAGTTACCTGATAATAGATGAAGCACCTTTGAAAGGTTTAAAAACTGGGGTTGACCTGAAGTCCCCTCACTATGCCCCAAATCCTGCTTCATAGAGGAGGCCCCTGGTTAGGTTCATGGAGTCTGTTTAAATCAGCTCTGACTGAGGATCCCTTACCTCTGGATTAAAAAAACAGTTTAATCTGAGCAAATAGCTTCCTAAAACAGGGGCACGATCACTCAAATTCCCAAGCTGGGTAATGGATTTCTGGAATGACTGCTAAAATACCTTCTGTGGCCCTCAGAAGTCTTAGAAGTCTCCAAAGTCATGTCAGTTGACTGCTTTCAACAATGTCCCGTTGCCTAGACAATTCATCTGAGGATGTGTGAACCTGTGATTTACATGCCACCATCTTCTATCACCAGTTAAACTTCAATAACTGGAAGGCAGACTCCTGCGTCCATATTACAGCATTAACACAGAAGCATCGAGAGTTGGTGAATTTGATGCTTCATTTAGGGCTACAGAAGCCGGCTGATCAGCGTTATTGTTCCGCTGTGTTTACTCGGAAAATAGGAAAACAAGCAGGGGATAGCAGTTTCCAAACACATGAAAGTGAAACTAATAACGGTGACACAGACAGCACATTACAGGTGGAAAACTTAAGACAGAAGGTTAAATAAAGCACGCCCACGCACACCGTAATAATGCGACAGTAGGATACACACCGACCTGTTCTTTACAAGCCGCTGGAGTTGACAACGAAACAAGAAAACGTTGCACCGCCGCAGGACATCGCAGCACTCCAGTTAGTTAGCTGACGTTAGCTCTGGAGGCTAGTTAGCATTCGGACTTTTCTAAGTAAAAAAATAACCTGCCAGAAAAAAAGTCGAGTTACGCTCTCATCGCCTCGTGAACCGGGTAAACAAACCCGAGATAACCTCTAATCTCGTTCGTTTTTATCAGACTGGATCTTCTTCATCAAAACAATGCCCCTTCACTTAGCTGTGCTATCGAATCGAGATCGAAAATGTACCCGCTAAACTCCGCTCAACATCAACGCCTCTGATTGGACGACAGATTCGTGACGATGAGTAATGCCCTTTCCCATTGGACAGCTGCTGACGTGTACCGTTGATGTCAATTTTTATTACTATTATTATTATTTCTTTGAATGTACTTAATTGACTTTATAAAGCTTCTTTAATTGTTTTACATTTAGTACTTTTATATTTTGAACTTTTATCAGATTTACCGTTATTTTGTGTTTAAGTTCAATGTGAGATTCAGAATGGTGAAGAAAGATGGTTTAAGCTACTTTCAACGTGGTAGGGGGGTTATAGCCAGTCTGACTCTGAATATTTTAGAAAATGCTGATCTGCCTGGATTTTACCACACTACTTTACCAAACTACACAGCAGAAGATTGGAAAAACGTTTTCTGCTCTGACAAGTCTTTATTTGTGCTCTAACATTCAGATGGTAGGATCAGAATTTGGAGTAAACAACATCAAAGTATGGATCATCCTATCTGTCTACAGTTCGGGCTGGTGATGGGGTATAATTTTCCTGATGAACCTCGGGCCCCTTGTTACAAAGTATTGTTTAGACACCATAGGCTCCCTGAGTATTGTTGCTAACCATTTCCATCCCTTTGTTACCAGTGTACCCATTTTTAAATGGCTGGTTCCAGCAGACTTATGCACTATGTCATAAAGCTCAAAACATTGCAAACTGGTTTCTTGTACATGAGGAAAAGTTCACTGTACATGAATGGCCTCCACAGTCACCAAGTTGCAATCAAATAGAGCAATTCTGGGATGTAGCAGAACGAGAGAGACATGCCATGGACACTGTGTGATGCTAACATGTAAATATGGACCAGAATCTCAAAATAATATTTGCAGCACCTTATTGAATCTATTCCATGTAGAATTAAAGCAGCTCTGAGGACAAAAAAGTATTTAACCCAGTATTATTAAGGTGTACCTAATGAAGTGACCAGTAAGTGTGAGTGAATGTGTGGTTTAAAGCGTGTATAAGAGCAGAGTGTTTAACAAGAAGAGGACTTATTTGGTGTGTTTCAAGAGATTTTTTTTATTTAATTAAAATTCAGAGTCCGTTTAAATCAGATGCTAATTTAAAATCTTCCTTACAGCAGAATTTTGTGTTTTGTTTGTAAAATCTCCATTTCAGTCACAGGTTTAATGTTTATTAGCCCGGGCAAGCATGTGATGAAGACAAATACAAACACACCTAAAAACAATATGAAAACAGAAATACAATCTCCATATTTACAAAAAGAACCAAAATAAGATGGACAATTTGAACAGTCTATTATTATTATTATAAATATTATTTTTAAAATAATGAGTCTATTATTAGTCTAATTATTTTTACTTAATTAAAACAGCATTTCCTTTTCTTTATAAACCAACAAATACAGTCCGATCTCTGGTTCCAAAAAGCGTGAGTTAATAAGGTTTTTAGACTGAGGGGAACATCGAATGGAAGGATTAACCTTTAAAAAACAGAAGCTGATGTTTCAACACATCACTCCCAACTTTCCAGTGTTTGTGACGACATATAAACCATAAACAGAGGAAGGCAAAACCACGCAGCTCTATAAAGAAAGATTAAAGAAACATCACAAGAAACGTGTTTGAACTGAGCTTCTTCGAGATATCCCCGTTCCTTTCTAAAGAACAAAAATTTGAATCCAAACATTTTATAATAAACAAATTTGCTAAAAACAAGCATAAAACATACAAGTTTACCTCCAAACCAGAGCAGTAAAAAAAGAAAAGAAAAAGAAATAATCTGTCCCATGAACATGTGGAAAGCCCCTCCTGAAATCCCATCAAACATATCGAGTGGATCAATGTCACTGATGGTCAGTCGCCTTCTTTCACCTTCACTTCTCTTTCTGTGATGGAAAAAATTGTAAAATTAAATTCAGAGGAAACATCAAGAAGCACCACGTCCAGGGTGATGAAACATACAGTAGGTAAATAAATTAATAAGAGATTTCTGTAAACACATTTATATGTTTGTCTGCAGTAAATATAACAGTGACATTACCTTATCTTGTTTATCAGCCTCAGCTGAGCCTGTTTACAGAGAAAATACAAATTAAAAAAT